CACACTAGTAAAATAAATAAAAGGATTCTGTCAATGCAATAATTTAAGTTAGTATCTCTCTAGTTTAACTCAATAGGTTGCAGTTTTTGATAACAGTATTGTGGTGCCTTATCCAGTGATGGCACAAGAGCTCAACTATAAGAATAAAATGGATCAAACAGAAAACAATATATATATGTATATATATATATATGGCTAAACCCTATGGCTTTGTATAATGCCTCTTAAGGTGGCAACTGATTAGAGGATTTTGATCTGTTCAGAAAATACAAGGCTAACAGGTTCCCTGTATGGTTCAAATGTGAGCAGAAGCTGTTAACCTTGTAAGGTCTTAATTGTCAGAAAATTATTTTATTTCTTGTAACTAGTCTTCAATTTTAAAAATAGATTGTAATTAAATTGTGTCGTTTGGGATGCATGAGGAGTTTCCTTTCTATTTGTGATGCACTCTCTGCTATATATATATATATATATATATATGTATATAATATAGAAAACATAAATATATAAAACTGTGTTTGCTATAGTTTTCTATTTAAAAAAAAAAACATATCTTACAGTCTTGTGTTGGAACACTGATCTAACCCAATGTGCCAAAAATCTAATCTGTTTGGAATTAAAAAAGATTAAAATTGGTTTGAATTCACCTAATTAATGGGAGCAAATTCCATCTGTTTTACTTACAAAATCTCAACTCAGAAAATGTTACAAATTATTTATAGTGTGTTTTCTTTTCTTGGCTAAGTCCTAACAGATCTTTTTACCAGTGTAAAAGTTGCTCTCATCCCCAAAGCGCCCAAAACGAAACCACCCACCCCACACAGATGTGCTGCATTAACTTTGTCAGGGTATCAGTTGTTCGGTTGTCTGGGTGCACTAGAAAAATAAATACATGTTAAAAGATAATTCTTGCAAATATGTTTCCAAATAATGCCAACCTTTATAAAGTCTGCACAGTCACCGTCCAATGACCAGAAGTCTAAAGGTGCTGAATACCAGGAAAATAATGTGCTACATTCCTGATTAAGGGTTAGATTTAAAGCCATGTTCCTTCCTGTTTATTTGTAAAAAGCAAAAGAATTTCATCGCAACATAGGTTGATTTTATTTCAAAAAATATCTTGCACCGCTTGTTGACCATTAAAGAATACAGAACATTTTAATTGTGAGGCGTTTTTTTTATTTTATTTTCTGCAGACGCATCATTTTTCCTGACATCTCATCATCTGCTCTCTGCTGTTCAGGTTAAATAAGAGCCGCTGCTTGGAGAGGAGTCATTCCCAGCCGTTTGCGCACAGCTATAAAAGCGTGGCACTAGTGTAAAGTCGTAAAACGAAGCGCACAATCCATCATCGCGCCATGTGACGGATCTAAATCATCCTCGCTGTACCCGGTGAGCCAGGAGAAGTGCGCACAGGCACCGCGCGCTCTTTGGGCCAAAACCTAGGAAATATGCGCGTAATGATAATTATAACTCCTCCTTTTATTTTAGGAATATAGCAAAAAATATTCAAGAGGAAAAAACGACCCGAATCCAATTAAAGCTACTTCTAAATAAAGAAGATTAAATAAAAAATAATCTAAATTAGTTATCCCTTCTTAAAGAAAAGCAGAGATGAGCGCAAAAGGCGCTCTAAACATCCTCCATCTATTCCCCTTTGGTGTTCTGCCACCAGATTGCAGACAAATAAAAGATGAGCAGCAGCAACCGGAGTCTGGACGGATGGAGAAAGAAAGGAACCCCGGGCTTCACGCTCGGACGCCTCCATTGTGGCGCATGATAAATAAATCTGCTCTCTGCCGACATCTGTCTCCAACATGTGTGATTTTCTTTACTCCACGTCTCTGAATGTGTTGCTGACTTGTAGGCTGTTTGTGTGCATGGAAAATCTATTGTGATTATCACGTTTGCGATGATTTAGAGATGTAAAAATCATTTGTTTTTTCTTTTGAAAAAAAATAATATTATCCTTCAGGCAATTTTTTATAGCGGGACAGAATGGAGAAACAACTCTGCAAATGTCACCTTATTACAGAAAAATGTATTTGGTTAATTTTTTTAAAGGGACAATTTATATAAAGCACATTATCACCATGAAGGCTGAGCAACGTGCTATAATAATAATAATAACCACATAAATTAAAATAATATAAATAACCTATTGATAATAATGGATCTGAAAGGTTTGCAATAAAAATCCTGAAATAATTATCAGTTTCAACACTATCTTAAAGGGGCAGTGAGATTAATTCAACCAGGAACTGTGCAACTCCACTGAAGAAACAAACTGTCTAAATCAAATAAACAGGTTTTAATCATATTGCATTTCAATTATACAGGTTTAACGAAAGCTAAACTAAATTAGACTATGCTGTTTTTAAAATGTTGTAAATCAGTTTCATAAATTCCCCACAAAATATTCTGATATTGCTTTGTTTTACCCTTCTCCCTAAAGAACAATTGAAATAGTGATCATATTTATCCTTAACAAACACTAAGAAGGACTTATTACAGGTGCTAAACGAGTCTAAGATATACGCACAACTTTAATTCTTGAAACTTTTCAACTGGTTTTATACTTTTATCCATTTTACAAAACATCAGCTTTACTGTTTTTGTAACATTTGTAAACATGTAAATGATTTAGATAGATACTGTTTTATGAAAAACAAAGTTCTGTTTTATAGTGTAGCATTTGGCTCTAAATGTGCTTGCTGTGTGTATAATGGGTATTGTCTATGCGCTGGAGCACCAGAAAACTTGTTTTAGCACAATTAAGAGATGCCTTATTTTAAACCCTTATATCACCTCTGTTCATAGCCTACTAAAATCATTAAAAAATGTTTTTACAATGTTCTATGTTTTCCAACATTAGTTCATTAATGTAATTCCTGTGTTGGGCATTAATTAAATAACGGAATGTGATAGGAAATTGAGAAAAGTTTAAATGTATGCTAAAATGCAGAATATGTAAACTTATTGTTCATTTGTGCAGCTTTTATCTACATGAATAATTCCACACCATGTCCCATTGGTCTACACTGTAAAAAGGAATTTTGGAGGCTGCAAAAGTTTAAATTTAAAAAAAATAAAGTAGTTTGGGCAAATTGACATGAACTTCATTAATCTCACATTGGAGAAATTTACCTCTGCATTTCACCCATCCCCTAGGGGAGCAGTGGGCTGAGATTGTGGCACTGAAAAAAATTATGCGACCGTTTTTAGCATTTCCTTAATCATATTTAGTTACTTTAACACAATAGTTTCATGTTAGCAGGGTAGGGCATAAAACAATTGTGTTAAATATGATTAAGTAAATGCCAAAAGCGGTTGCATTATTTTTCAGCAGTGTGGGATTAAAGCTCTTGCTCAGAGACCCAGAGTGGCATTCTGTGGAAGAGGGTTTTAAATTTACAACGTCAGGATACCAAGCTCTATACCCTAACCACTGCCGCCATTCCGACATTTTGTTAGATAAACGTAAACATCCAACCAGATAAACTGTTTTGCTTAAAAGCCCGTGCTAATTATCTTTATTAAATTTAACCTCCATTGTTACAAGTATGCAACAAACCAAGATAACATGTGCAGTGACATAATGCCAGTTATCACATATCGAATGTGCTCCTAGGAACTCTTGTTTCTGGTAAAACTGGTCCCCATCATTGTCCATCATAATTGTTGTCAGAAATTTGCAATATGCACTGTGTGCACTGTTTCGCAGAACTAGTCAAAGCATTTCAAGTTGGAAAATCATTTTAAAGGCAAAAAGTTTTTTTTTCCTCCTCTATTTTTGTATACATGTAAATACAATCAGGCATCAATCATATTTATTGGGTCAATATCATTTTATGGTATGCAGCCCTTGAGAGAAATACATAATAATATTCCACTAGTAGGAGTTAAGAACTGATGTACAGTAGGAATAGTGGATGAGAAAGTTTCTCTCGTCAAGCTAAAGTCTACATAAAATCTGAGCTGTTTTAATGCAGCATTTTGCAACTTCAAACTCACTCCATTTAGTTTTTTACAAAATGTATCTCTGCGCCATTTTGCTATCAAAAACACCAAATTCCTGCCTTGAAATCATCATTAGAATCCATCTCAGACGTAGTCGATATGCTAAGTTCTTGAATTATAAGTTTCTTTTTAGGTGCACTTACAATTAATAAATTCTACAGCATTAAATATGTAGAGTACATTGACTCTTTTACCGTTATTACAACAACTACTACACTATGTAGAGAGTTAATTGAACACTAATTAAGAGAGTGACCAAATGCACTTGGATGGTGTTAAATTTACCTCTTAGTGTTACTTTAACACTGCAAAATTTAATGTGTGAGCTATAATTGAATTTAAAATGTTCTATTTGGAATTAATTCCAAATGTGGTCAGAATGTAAGGGTTATTGATAATTAATCTATTATTTTATTGTTGTTTATTATTATTTTCTTTCATGTAGCTCTATTTAGTACCTTTTTTTATAGTGCATGTTTTGCTATTTGTGCTTAAAATGGTCATAGGGGGTATCAGTTCCGGTCGACTGATGTCATAGAACGGTTCATAGTCATGTTTTGTTGTTGAAATGCTTAATAATAGGTGTATTTGTGGCGCCCCTTAGAGTGAATAACTCCAAAACTCGCTCCAGTTGCCTACAATAAAAAAAAAAAAACTAAACAAGGGACAACACACGCAATTAAACAAATGTTGTGGTCCAACATTTCTCCAACGGGTCGAACCTCGACTTCAGATATTAAATCAGGTTATTTTATTGGCTGTACTAATTTGGAGGAGAAATCAAAGCCAATTACAGGAACGAGGAGGAATGAAGTAGTGAGAGGCGCGCGGATGGATGAGGAGGAGGTGGGAGGTGGGTGGTATGGGCTGGGCTGGGGGCTTCGGCTCTGATTGGTCCTCTATTGGAGGAGCTCATGGGTTCATTCCGCCTCTAAGCGCCTCCCCGTTCCTCTAAACTACATTATAATGCAACGAACCTCCCTTTTAACCACAAACCGAATTTGCTTTCATTTAGGCCATATATTTTTCTTAAATAGGTTAAAGTCATAGAGATTTTTTTTGTTGTTTTTTATTTATTTTTTTTAGTTTTCGTGTGTGGGAATAGCATTTCGCCCTGGAGCGGTGCGCAATGCTTTCTCACGCCGACCTCCTGGATGCTCGCCTCGGTGAGTTATCATCACCAAACTCCGGTCTCCAACTCTACTGTAAGCTGGAGGAACTTCTAATCTTAAATCAAGCTCAGAAAATTGTCCAATTTGCTCCATATATTGTCCTAATGTGCCTGAACAGAGCTAAATTCGCCTAATGATTGGAAAAGTAATTATTATTATTATATTACGCTTTAATTTGATTTAACAATTTTCTAAGATCTCAGTGTGCTCGAGTTGATTAAAGAGTATTTAAGGAGCAGATTGCAGTGTGCATGGTTAAAAAAGGAGCTAGACGTTGATGTTTAATGTTTTTATTAGATGGTTTAATGCATGCGTAAAATAATGCTTCAGTTCTTTCCAATTGAACATTTTCTCCTGTAATGCATTTTTCCAGGTGTATCTAACCATGTTGTTTCTCTTTATAGTTTCACTCTATAAGCTTGGCTCTCACCTGCTCTGCTTGTTCATGTTCAGGGATGAAGGATGCCGCGGCGGAGCTCCTGGGCCACAGGGAGGCTCTGAAGTGCAGGCTCGGCGGCGGCGGACCTGACCCAGGACACTCCGGGGAGCTTGGACCCGGTCCGGACGGCGTGGAAGGAGCCACTATGCTCCCCGGTGACGACATCAGCGGCGGAACCGGATCCAACCCGGTGCAGGTTAACAGCAAGGAGCAGGAGAAGCAGCAACAGCAGCAGCAACAGCAGAACAACAGCAGCGGGAACAACCCGAACCAGTCCGGAGGGCAACAGAGCCAGAAACAGAAGCGGCACCGGACCCGTTTCACCCCGGCGCAGCTCAACGAGCTGGAGCGCAGCTTCGCCAAAACGCACTATCCGGACATCTTCATGCGGGAGGAGCTGGCTCTGCGGATCGGTCTGACGGAGTCCAGAGTTCAGGTGGGCCGCACAGAAATCTGTTGTTTTAATGTATATTCCTGTAAAAATAAAACACTAAAACAACAATAGTTGCTGAATCAAAGGGAAGAGCGCTATAATTAATATGTTAACTGATAATAAACATTTGTCTAAGCGGCGCCTTTAATAAAAATAAAAAATAATCAAAAAGGTAAATTCTGGGGGGAAAAAAACAGCTATAGTTTTATTTGATGTAATAAACTTAAAATTCCTCACCAAGAGCACTCCTTTGTAAATTAATCCCAGATAAATTTAAATAATCATCAGAAGAAAGCAGCAAAAAAGAAAAAAATCCTCCAAAATAAATAAAAATAACAATTAAAAAACGATTTAAACACCAACGCCAAGTCACTAAATTAGTTTTTAAATCTACATCACACAAGCAATATAAATACTTAATATTCTTGCCGCAGAAAAAAATCCCAGACTGTTTCGTTCAGATGAATATTTCTAATCTGTTATAATTTTGAGAAAATAATAATACAAAAAACTAAAATGTTAAATTTTGTCACCTTAAGGTTGGCTGATTCTTCTTATACAAACAAATCTGCGCCTCTTGTGGCTGATTTATTCATGCATTTTATTTTCCCCATTAAATTAAAGTCTAAAAACAACAACAAATGATACCAAATGAAGAAATGTTTTCCTTTAACCAAACAGCACAACTTTGTTTTAGCGCTCGAGTTTAAATATTATTTTTCTGCTGTTCGTGGATGCAATTCGGAAACACAGATTTTATTCTTGCAATTGAACTTGTAATTATAGCAAAATAGCATAATATCAATAATGAGTAAAAAAAAGTGAAGGACAATGATGCTTCCCTTAATATAAACACTGTAACTATTATTCAACTCATGACTGAAAGTCGTTAACTGCATATTATTGTTATTTATTTACATTTTGCTGATTGTAAATATTTAATAAGTCATAGCCTTTTTTAAAGGTTTGTGCAGATAAAATTGATTTAAAAAAATTCCCTTGTAAAAAATTATAGGACTTAATATCAAATTGAGTTTTCTTTTTTTAAACCCTCATTTTATAGGTATTTAACCAAATTGCAGTGCAGGGGTTCTGCCATTAATTCAGCCTAATTAAGATTGCCTTACATTTCCTGCCCATCCCGTATAATGGATCTACAGGGACCCAAACACTGATAGCAGCTTTATTACAGTCATTTAATGGCCGCTGATCAGCACAGTCATGCATTTATTGCATCCTCAGTGTTATTTTATAATTTGCTTGTACCTATATGCTACTATCGCTATTGCTTTTTTGCTATCTGCAGTCTTTCCAATACCGACTCTCCTGCAGAGTTGGGAAAAAAGCCGCATTGTGCATTTATAGGCTTCTTTAGCTGCTCCCCTGTGTAATAATATTCTAATAATCATTATTAGCATCGGATGGCCCCATCCAGTTTCCCAACCATTTGCATAAAATGAGAATTAGTGAAATGATGCTCATCCGCTCTTATGATGCGGCTCAGAGTGAGGCAGAAATGAAGGAAGGTGTTCAGCAGTGCGCCTGTCAGCGCGGCGCGCGTCTTAATAACGGGGCGCAGCGCGCTCTGTCTGCTCAGATCCGATGAGAGATTGCGTTTTCTTTCTGCCCTGCAGAGGTGTAATGCATTTCAGGTCGGATTTCACGGCTGGCTTCGCCGGGAGCGAGATGGTCCCGTTCTTATTACCGCGGCCCGCTTTCTCAAGCAAATCTCCACATTAATCACAGACAGCTACTGCTTACCAGAGCCAACTATTGATTTCACCTGGAATATTGTCTTTGTTAGAGGCGTGTGTGCGCTGGAAATAAGCAGCAAACGAATTATGTTTATTATTGTACATAAAAAAAAAAAAAAATTGTTTAAAATTAATATTTTACTTTTTGCATATTTTATGTAGCCTATCTTTATTTGTAGGGGGCTAAAAATAGGTTTGATATTTCCTTTTCCATGTCAAATAAAAAGGAAGAGGAAAGTAATTGATTATATATAGCCTATATATATATTGGATTTTATACTTCCAGTCTATTGGTAGGCTTTACACTGGAAAAACTATCTAGAAATAAGTAAAATATCCTTAAATTAAGTGTATTTGCCCTTAATTTGAGTGGTTAAATGAGACAGTTTGCCAATGGAATGAGTATTTTTACTCTTAGATAACATGCAAATGAAATAAGACAATGCAATTGTGTATTCTCATTTTAAGTGTAAATTGTCTTGTTCCATTGGTAAAATGTCTCTTTTACTTCCTCAATCCAAGAACAAATGCACTTATTTTAAGAAAAAAATGACTTACCTAGATTTCGATTTTTTTCCAGTCTATAATGTTTCCCTTTAGCTAATTTATTGCAGCTTGCTGCATTATGGTGATGATCACATCATTGTTTCATGGCTGCATGTGTCAGTGCATCATCTCCCTCTGACTCATCACTGTCTGGTCCGCAGGTCTGGTTCCAGAACCGACGCGCCAAGTGGAAGAAGCGCAAGAAGACCACCAACGTATTCAGAGCCCCGGGGACGCTTCTGCCCACGCACCACGGCCTTCCCCAGTTCCCCTCTGCAGCGGCCGCAGCGGCAGCTATGGGCGACAGCCTCTGCTCCTTCCACGCTAACGACACCCGCTGGGCTACAGCGGGGATGCCCGGCGTGTCTCAGCTCCAGCTACCGCCCGCCCTGGGCCGGCAGCAGGCCATGGCTCAGTCTCTGTCCCAGTGCAGCCTCGGCGCGGGGCCTCCGCCCAACTCCATGGGTCTGTCCAACATGTCGTCCAACGGTTCCGGGCTGCAGTCGCACCTCTACCAACCCACGTTCCCCGGGATGGTGCCCGCATCCCTTTCCGGCCCGACCAACGTGACCGGCTCGCCTCAGCTGTGCAGCTCCCCGGACAGTGACGTCTGGAGAGGGACGAGCATCGCGTCGCTGCGCCGCAAAGCGCTGGAGCACACAGTCTCCATGAGCTTCACTTAGTGCCGGGGCTGCCGCGACAAGAGATTTTTTTTTTCCTGCATTTAGTTAACTTGCATTCAGTCGGAAAAAAACAAAAAACAAAAGCAAAACCAGGATACTTCTCCATCTGCAGGCAACTGGCTTCTTATTTTCCTCCTCAAATATAAGGAGGAGACGCGCTCTCCACCAGGCCAGCTGGCCTTTTATCAACCACAGGGCTGGTTCCGTTTAAAGCTATAATTTATTATTTCGCATGTGGCCTCTGTCTATTTATTTATCTATTTAAATTAACTTATTGTTTTGTTTGGTATTTTATTGGGCACGGACCCTCTGTGACTGATTGTTTTCTTGAGGACACATTCTGGAGATGCTTCAGAACACAACAAGGTTGGGAATTTCTCTTTTAGCTCCTGCCGCCAAAGGGCCAAAGGGTTGCACACTGGAAAAACAAAAATAAACAAACAACAAAACAAACAAGCAAACAGAGAAGCACTTGCTTGGAGGTTTCAAAGACTGAGAACTTAATTTCCCCTCCTATCAGGAGAGAGAAATGATCTAAAAGGAATCCGGAAAACATTGACTGCATGTCAGAAAGCAAAATATAATAAAAAAAAATGATGATAAATAAATAAATGACACAAAAAAGGAAGAGGGAGGGGTACTTTAATTAAGACATGGAAGCTGACTTAACTATAACCTGTTCTATAGGATGTTTTTGTGTAGCGGAAGCACTCTTGTTCCCATTTGGTCAGTTTGTGATAACCTATGTTTCCAGAACTCTTTCTGTGCTTATGATCAAAATATGCCTTTCTTAAATGTTGGAACCATTTTGTTTCATGGACATGTTTATATCAATTCAGTGTAAATGAGCCAATAAAAATCATTTTCAATAATGTCACAACATTGATCAACCCTCCTTTCTTGAAAACTGGATAAACACTCAAAAGGTCAGCATAATAAAATTTCCCCCCTTTTTTATAGTTTTAAACTCCCCAACACAAATTACACAGAAATCTCCTTTATGCATTTAATGGCGACAGACACAAATATAAAATAATCTAGATAATTTGGATTAAAATATTTTTTAAATCTTTTTTGTCATTGCATGTAAAAAAAAAATACCAAAAACAAGATTTTTTTCCCATTTAAATACTGATGAAATACGGCTAAAGCTCTTCTTATTATTATATATTTAGATTCTTAAAGGGTGGCATGTAAATGTTTAACTTGATGGCAAAGTTGGTCCATTCATTGGTAATGTCTGTCTGCTTCGTGTAGGTTTTCCTTTAGTGTTAGCATTGTGGCTAAACTGTCTGAATCTGGATGAAACTTAGATTATTGTTTCAAAAAAATTAAAAGTTCTTAAGTCTAAATCCCTGAGGTTCGTAAATTTTACCCAGCTGATATCTCCATTCATAAGACCTTAGACTTAGACAACATTTATTTTTTATTTTGTATACACAAAGTGTGTACAAAACGAAATTTCGTTTTTTACAGCTCTCATGAGATTTCTATTTTCTTAGTGCAGCAGTGATCAAATGTAAACATTCTGGGAGAAAAAAATATGGTGCAAAAAACCCCCCACATTGATATGTTCAGTTTGATGCAGAGTCTGTGACATTATTTAGAGTTTATTCAACATTCAGCTGTCTGATGGTGGTGGGCGAGAAGCTGTTTTGGAGCTGCATTGAATGCTGCAGCCTCTTCCCAGAGGGCAGCAGGGAGTCCATAGTGGGGGTGTGAGGGGCCACTGATGATGTTAAACATAAGACATCCCATTATTATTATAAGCGTTGGATGCTACGTCAAATGAAAACGCAGATTTTTTAGTTTGATAAAATTAATATTTTTTTTAATTTACGCATTTTTAAGCAAATGAGTCACAAACTAAAATACTTTAACCTAATTTAAAGAATTTCAATTTTAAAATATCACTACCGGCATTGCTATCAGTTTGATCTACCCTCTCCCTTTTGGCTGTCAGAAAGAATAAGAAGCTCAATCTTTTTAGGGGCATCAATAAAGGCTTTTTTTCCCCTTAATAAGATGTGTATACTTCCTCTACGGTTTTGCCTAATAACAGAGCCATACCATAGATATCACAAATTTTCACCACGCTCACTTTTAAGATAAAAGTTGTAATTTTGCCACTTTACTAACTTTGCAGCATACAACTGCTGCAATCAAAGAGGACAACTGTGCCAATTGTTAACTTCCATTATGTTCAACCTGACTTATCTACTTGGAAAAAACTTAGTAACTCTTGCAGGTTCATCATAACAGAGAAAAAAAAGACATTTCTATTTAAAACAAGTTCCTGGATGTGTTTTCTAAACACTAACATCCAAGCGATTTTGACTAAATTAGGCAAATCCAATCCTTGTTAGCACTAACAGTAAAATAAGTGCTTCTTTTTCTTTTACGAACAGAAATCATTAAATAACTCTACCTGATATGCTGTAAAGACCACGACTATATGTAAAACGCCAATGAGTGTAAAGCCGAAGAAAATAATTATAATTTTTCATTCAGAATTCAAACACTCCATATAAAAGTCTAAAAAATGGCGTATGACAGTATAATCTCTGAGGGCATGTTTGTTTTGCTGTTCTTTTATAACATTTTCACCTGAGCTGCGAGCGTTTTGGATAATTAAAAATTAATTTAATTATTCTTCACCAACGCTCAGGTATGTGAGGTGAAGGCAGACTAATTAATTTTCTGCGTAGTTGTTATGGAAAATACATCAAATGTTTACCTTAAAACTAATTGATGTGTCCTACACACAACCACACACAAGAAGGTCCTGGGTTTAAATCTTCCATGGATGTGCATCTTGCAAAATTGGCATTTACTTAATCATATTTAGTTACTCTAACACAATTGTTATATGCCGGCTAAAATGAACAATTGTGTAAAAGTAACTAAACATAATTTAATAAAATGGCAAAAATGGTTGCATTATTTTTTTTTTCAGTGTAGTTGGTCTGGCCAATAAATGTAGGCATGTATAGGTGGTTTTTAGCTGTCTTAGCATCTAGCTGATTAGCAACATCACTCCCAACCAACAACCCAGAAACTATAATCATGTGTAGACTTTGGATGGAGGGATGGATGGAAGGAAGGAAGGAAGGAAGGAAGGAAGGAAGGAAGGAAGGAAGGAAGGAAGGAAGGAAGGAAGGAAGGAAGGAAGGAAGGAAGGAAGGAAGGAAGGAAGGAAGGAAGGAAGGAAGGAAGGAAGGAAGGAAGGAAAGAAAGATAAAAACAATAAAACCATCCAAAGTCCAGCATTGATTTTGATCTTCTGCTTTAGGGAGAAATGTGATTCCCACAACTTTGACAACTGATTTAACGTAATTATGAAACACCCAGTTTCACAGTAGCAGTTAATAAGCTATGCTAAGCAACAATATTTAGAAATAATTAGTATCTTTGTCAGTATTATAATCTGAAGAATCAGAGATTTACAAAGGCAAGAGGATGCTTTATATTTCTGAGAAGATATAATTCAGTTCAATTCAGTCATTTATATGGCACCAATTCATAATACATGTAATTTCATGGTATTTTACAGAAACAATTCAATCAAATCATACAGTCAACATGTTTCAAAGGTTTCTATCAAGAGAAAACCAGCTGAGTGCATCCAGTCATTGACTTTCCAAGATAAGCATTGACAGCATTGTCTGCATTGTGTCGTTCTTCTTACATTAATCCAACAGCATGCATGCAGCGACAGTGGAGAGGACAAACTCAGTTTTAACAGGAAGAAACCTGCAGCAGAACCAGGCTCAGTGTGAGCGGCCATCTCCTGAGGCCGACTGCAGGGTCAAGGAGACAAAAGCAGACAGACATAGGGAAAATAGATGCAGTGATTTATAAATACTTTTTCTCTTAGAGAAGGTAACATTAGCCTGTTTCCATAGAAATTATATGCACATTTTAAGCAAACTTAAAAAAATTTATAAAAAAGGAAAAAAATATATTTTTCGGTGTTTCCAATTGGGCTTAAAACGAATTAATCAATCACCGCAAAGTGTAATGTTATCATTAAGTTACACATGACTGTAGTAAACTGTAATAAAATAAGTAGAGGCTGCAATCTGACACTGACCACAGATCAGTAATGGATAACAGTTTTAATGAATATATTGCTAACAGGCAAGTTGCTCTTACTTTAACAGCTAGTAATGGTGATGTTGCTTCCAGCCATGTCGACACAAATAGTAGGAACATCCCAAGAGATGGCGACAGCAGAAAAAGTTGATAAGTCACATGAAGTAAAAGTTTGTTGAATCAGAAATTATTTGAAAAAAGTGTTTTCATCTTGCGTTTTATGCATTAGCCATTTTTCTCAAAGACAAGACCGATTTAAGTGATCTTAAAAACCTTTTTGCAAATTTGAGGGAGTTTTTTTTTATTTTGCTGTTTCCATCAAGCTTTTCTGATGCACTAGGTCAATACGCACTTTAAAAAAAGCTGATGGTAAAACTAACTCCATTAGTGTCTGTCTAGCAGTGAAACAGTCAAGCTATTAGCCAGTTTTTCTTTTCAAAACAGATGGAACAGAGCAGATACAGTTACCGTAGTCAAAGCTGAGCATATAGCTATGGTCTAACAGAGAAACAGGACCAAACTCTAATAAAAAGGCTTAGACATAGATACATTTTATTGTCATCCTGTATACACAGAGTGTATACAAAATGAAATTTCAATGCTTTTCAACAGTGAATGAGCAGCTTACAACAGTAAAATGAACATTACAATTTATAAAGTACAGCAATGGTCAGAATGTAAACAGTGTAGGAGAAAAGGAAAAACCAGTTTAAAGTCATGGTACAAAAGGCATAATAACTTTTAACGTTGGGACTTTAAAAGGTCCAACTGTATCATATATAACTTAAGTTCTCTACGGCAGCAGCAGAGCTTTTGCCTCCAGCTACACAGAACTATGCCGGATGAAGCTATTATGGCAAGAAAAAAGTAGAGAGAACATAGAGTTAGGGGTTTAACAAAAAAAAGGTAAATTTGGAGAATAGAAGTAGAATAAATCTAAATGTAAAAGACAGTGACCCTTATGTCCTCCAGCAGCTTAAGCCTACAGACACACATCTATAGAGATTGATCAAAAAACCAACTACCAACTGAAAATGAATTAAATCAAAATAAACATAATCAAAAAGTGCAGTTAGGTCTGTGTCCTATTTATTTGTTAATGTAAAAAGAAAATATCTAATGGTAAGAAAATTTCAACACATTCTCTATATACTAGTAGACTACTACAGAGAAATAGGGCAAGGTTCTTCAAAGTATAAGGTAACTCATGGTCATTCCAAAAAAAGGAAATTAAAAACGATCCACTGAACTTTGTTTCCAAGTTTGAAGACGTTTCGCTTCCCAGGCAGGAAACTTTCTTAATTCAAAATGTCAGGAATAGCGTTCAGTTCGAGGTTTTATACAGTAGCCCAACAAAGCCTTGTTTTTGTTTGGAGCCCATAGCTACAGTAGGTCTAACAGAGAAACAGGACCAAACTCTAATTAAAAGACTTAGACATAGACTAACGTAATTGTCATCTAAACATAAACAAAAACAATGCTTCGTTGGTATTTTCTTCCTCTATTTAAATGCTCATATTTAGATAAGTTTAGATCTCTTCAAATCCCTGTATATATAGTAAAGATTGGAAAGTTGGCCAGTTTTTACCTCTATAGGTTTTCTTCCACAGTCCAAAAACATTTATAGTTAAAACCCCATATCTTCACATTTTTTTATAAAAACTTTTTTTCTTTATTATTTTAAATTACGTTACATAAATCATTTGCTGTTAATTAAAAAAAAAGCCCTGTACTTAAATGGAACTGCGTTGCAAAAAATAATCTACAAACAAGTAAACGTTACTT